AACTATACTGAAACTAAATCGATTTAAAATAAATTCTAAAAAAAAAAATTTTATACACCAACTCTAATTAAAAGCAAACTAAAATTAAAACAAAAATAATAAAAACAATTGAAATTTTCAGTAACTACAATAATCCTGTTCAGCAAGCACAACGTCTGATTCAATCCAGTCTGCTACTGGATGGACTGACATGACCAGACACTCGCAGACGAAGCACTTAACGTCTGCTCATCCTCCTCTAAGTCTCTCGCTGAGAGAAATGGCATTAGAAAGCTTTCTGCCCTTTACTTTCATCTGCTCTCATATCCGCCACTGACCCTGCGTCAGGCTACGGCTGTAATAGCATCACGTGCCACGATGGTCGTGTGTGTCTGTCTGAAGACCTGTGACTGCACTTCCTAACCTGCAGGTGGTGTGGTCAACTAGGCTCCAGGCCAACCACCACATGCTGTTTTCAACTGACCACAGCAACACGTATTCAGATGTGTTCACACGTAAACACGCAGGGCTCTGAACACGCAAACACAGACGAAGACTGTGGGTGACCAGCAGTCACCTGCGAGGGGCCGGAAGGCAGGGTGGTGTTTGAGGTGAGTGGAAAGAGGAGGAACTGCAGGCATAACAGTCTGCTTTTACAGCTAAAATAAACATCTGACTGCCATGTCTGGTCCCAAAGCTCACAAATGTCTGACTAGAAGTGCTGTTATGGTCACCATGTAATTGGAAAAAACTCAGAGGGGAGGGAATAAAAAAAAAACATCCTTGGGTTGACGGAATTGATCAAAACAAATGGATAAAAATGTTAAAACTTATTCAATCAGCGCCAGAGCAGTTAACACATCAGGTGTACTCAGACAAGAGTTACAAATAAGACACGCTATAAGAGCTACAGTGTGTATGTTTTTCATTCCTAATTTATCGACAGAAACACTTGCAGTATTGCAGTTAAACAAAAATACATAAAGATGTACAATGTATGCAAAGAAGGTACAGAAGACTGTTTAATGCTGCACAGCAGGGTTATTATAGTTAACTAAATCTAAAACCATAAAACAAATTGTTACTTAAAATAAAATATACTTTACCTGAAATAAAATTGAACAAATAAAATTGAAAAAAAAAAATATATATTTTCATTTACAACATTTCTCAAGTTCATTTATTTTATCTTGATGTACTAAAATGACTAAAACTGAAATAAAAAATAATGAAAACTATGTAGACTTTAAAAAAGCTGATAAAAATGACAAAAATAACAGTTTCAAAAATTTTAACTAAAAATAAAATCTGAAAACATCAAAATAAAAAAAACGAAAGATATTAATAAAAAGTATAACATCTCAGTGATATTAAAATAACTGCAGCACAGAATGTACAAA